GCCTGGCGCCGAAAAACAAATAACGACAGCGCCAGGCGGACCTTTTTATTCAAGCGGCATTTTAACTGTTAATATTATTGGATTTTATCTGGCCAGGGCAGCTTATTTTATACTGTATTTTTGTATTTTTAATTTAATGTTTATATTTTTGATTTATATTATAATTATTTTAACTTATTGTAATTATTTAACTTGTTGTAAGCCGCCCCGAGGCTTCGGCGAATGGGGCGGCAAAAAAAATGTTTAAATAAATAAATAAGCAAGCAAGCAAGCAAGCAAGCAAGCAAGCAGCTCCCTGGGCTTCATCAGGAAATACTATTTGGATCGCATCTGTCTCACCTACAGCTTGCTGCCCTCATTGCCCTCTTTCCCCGCACCCCAATGACCTCTTCTTTTTGTAGGTGTGAAAAACTGGCTGAGATCATCTGCCAGAACCGTCAGCAAGTGCGCCGTGTCGAACACCTGTGCCAGCAGCTGCCCATTCCAGGACCCATTGAAGAGATACTGGCGGACCTCAATACCACCGTCACAGATATAATTTCTGCCTTGGTCACTAGGTAATTAGCAGGGATGCCATGGTAGTGGTGGGATATATCTGCAGAAAAACAAGGATTTGCTTTTGGTTTTAGGGAGCGCTTGTTTGTTACAGTGTTCTCTGTGAGTAGGCTGCATACTCTCATTTCCTGTATTACGCTGAGGCCTTCATTGTTTTTTCCCCATCCTAAATTTCAGTACTAATCACAACTACAATGGATAAGCTTGTACAGATGAAGTTAGGACAGTCTGCTAGGTCAGATATTTCCTTTGCAAATCTGCCTCCGTAAATAAAGACTTTTTCCCTCTTCCTTCCTTCTCCCTGCAGCACCTTCATAATTGAAAAGCAGCCTCCCCAAGTCTTGAAGACCCAGACTAAGTTTGCAGCCACTGTGCGGCTGCTGGTTGGTGGAAAGTTAAATGTCCATATGAACCCCCCACAGGTGAAGGCCACCATCATAAGTGAGCAGCAAGCCAAAGCCCTGCTGAAGAATGAGAGCACCCGCAAGTATGTGTGACCCCTCACCTGTTGCATGTGGTGGGAAAGCTGCATCAAGGAAGAAAGATCACACACAAGTGCACATTGAAGAGACATGGGTGGGAATTCTGTGTGGGAATGGGCAGTACTTCTATAAGTAGAACAAGGAGCTGGACTTCAGCCCTGGAAGCCATGATTGGTGGAGGGGCTGTATGAATATATGCAAGAGAATAGAGATCTAAAAGCCATGAGGGCTTTCTGTCAGTATGCAAAGGACGGCCCAGCCTCGTTTTCCAGAACCTCTGAAGCTTTTTTATTTGATGGCTTCTGTGCTGCTATTGTGGCCCCTGAGTCTCAGGTCAAGCAGACCTTTCAGTCAAGCAGATATTTCCTGTCCTCTGCAGACCATTAGTGTTCCACTGGAGAAAGCTTTCTCCTGAAAAATTGAAATGTTGGTAGATGTTTCATGACATGATAGTAGCTTACCCAAAAGGTAGCAAAAAGGCCGCAGTACAAAAAGTGACAACCCACTTTCAGTCCTATTCAGTAAGTGGCTATGTATATGTGTTCCTTTGAATGTAATAGTTAATGGAAGTTAATTTGGCCAGCCTTTGCTTAAGTGTGAAAAACCAGCCAGTCTTCACTGAGTGCAGCTGCATCACCAGCATCCCTGCGGTGCAAAGCTAAATACTGTCAACTGGAAAATATTGAATTGCCCATGGTGCACTGGCTGTTTCTCTGCTAACTGTTATTGCTTCCTTTTGGCAGTGAGAGCAGCGGTGATATCTTGAACAACTGCTGCGTGATGGAATATCACCAAGCAACTGGAACGCTGAGTGCTCATTTCCGCAACATGGTGAGCCAGATACATATACTGATTCCTACCCTGTCTTTCTTTCCTTTTTTTAATTGTTTTCTCAAAAGAAATAAAATACAGAAAAGAAGAAAAATACTAAAGAAAAATAAGAATGCCAAGAGATCTTAGACAAATGCAAGATATAAATTCATAACCTACAAATTCCCGAAAGAGTCCAAAATGTCTGTCTTTCTGTCAGTCAGTACTTTGTTGAAACTCCCAACAAATAAGTCCTCTAAACCAACAAGTTTTCCAATCACTTAGGGAAAATCACTTCCTTTTGTTCTTATATTAAACTGCATATACTAGAATTTCCATTTATCATTAAATTCTTAAATGGGTCTTCAGTTTACATAATTTTGCCATCACTGCATGCTTAGCCAACTTATTTTTGTAATCTTCAGTTGTTGGACATTCTGTTGTTTTCCATTTAGAAGCAATTGTAATTCTTGCTATAGTTGTCATATATTTAAATAACTTTTGAATATGTATAGTGGCTAAGAAATACCTTCTTAAGCCTGGATGGAGTTTTAATGACATGATAGGAGGTAGGCAGTCTTCGTATTTATTCTCTGTGTTCCTGGATTCCATTTCTCTAACTTTCCACCAGTGTTGTATGTGAGACCTTTTGCATCTTCCTCTTCCACCTCTGTCGTCTATAAAGAAAGCATCAACTTCTGCAGCCCAAAACTCTCCAGGCAGAGCAAATTATGCTAAGTATATTTACCTCTGTAAATCTATCTAACTGTATAGTAACTATAGTAATTCATGTATAGAATTGCCCCCTGCCCTGCTAAGTGTTGCGTATTGCTTCCAGGCCCTTGACCATCTGTTCTGTTTTTTCTGTGCCTCGTCCCCTCATTGCACCCCTCAACAGTCATTGAAGCGGATCAAGCGCTCAGACCGGCGTGGCGCTGAGTCAGTGACCGAAGAAAAGTTCACTATCCTCTTTGAGTCTCAGTTCAGTGTTGGTGGCAACGAGCTGGTCTTCCAGGTGAAGACATTGTCTCTGCCGGTGGTGGTGATAGTGCATGGCAGCCAGGACAACAATGCCACTGCCACGGTGCTGTGGGACAACGCGTTTGCTGAGCCGGGCCGGGTGCCTTTTGCTGTGCCGGACAAAGTGATGTGGTCACAGCTGTGCGAGGCCCTCAACATGAAGTTCAAGTCTGAGGTCCAGAGCAGCCGAGGGCTCACCAAGGAGAATCTTCTCTTCCTGGCCCAGAAGCTCTTCAATAGCAACATCAACCACCTAGAAGATTACAACAACATGGCTGTCTCCTGGGCTCAGTTCAACAGGGTAAGAGTGCACCACTATGGAACTAGCCACAGAAGCATTCTGAAGAAAGAGTTGGGGGTTTTCATGGCCAGAGACCTCCCCATCACCACACCTTTCTCTTGGGTTTCTGTCTCATTCCCTCCAGTATCTCTGTCTTCTCGCATCCTCCTCTTCCTACTTCCTGAAATAGTCATTTGTCAAAGGAAGAGAGAGAGCTTGGGCTGGAAGCTGGTAAGCTAGACAATACTGCTCAGGGCTTCCAGTTAGGACTCCCTGTGGTCCTTATGAACTCATAATAAGGCAGTGCGTGCAAAAATTCATTTATTGGTGTTTGCAAAAGAAAGGGCCATATGTAAAACTGAGGTATCAACTGATTTAAACAACTATAAACAATTAAATGCCGCACTGTGAATCAGTATCTTTATACAGGTAAAACCAGTTTGGTCCAGTAGTTAAGGGTATAGACATGTATCTAAGAAACCTGGGCTCATATTGCTGCTGAGCCTAAGGTACATTTGGCAAGCCCACTTTCTCAGTCCTCAATCTGTAAAAGGTTACAGAGGAGTATTTTGAGAAGGAGTGAGTTGAGATTGTAGTCCTTTTGGCAATAAAATATGAAAGTAACAGCTGACAGTATCTCCCCTGTCTGGATGCTATATAAGAAAGAGTAAAGCACCTCTTAGCTGAGAGGTCCTTCATACTGTCCTTATGCAAACCTGTTTTGAACAGATAAATAAGTAACTTTACATGCTGTCTCAGAAATCCTTATGAACACACTGTCAGGTAGGTTAATATTACTACCCCATATTAAAGAAGTGAGTCAGAAATAGAGGCTTGCCTAATGTCCCCCAGCGATCTCATGGCTGAGGTGAGATCTTTGAAGTCTAGACTTCCAACAGCATAGCTTATTCTTCCAATTACTACCCTACAACAGCTACCAAGATGCTTGGAGAGTGCTTGTTTTCAAGCCAGGATCAAAATGTGCTTGCAGGGAACTAGCCATGTGAATGGCGTGTCTACAAAAGCATTTCCCTGGCACACTTCCAAAATTCTTCCTGAAGTAGCTTGAATAGTGGGTACCAATCTGACCTCAGTCTGAACTGTTCCCATGGCCTTTCCTCTACAAGTATGTTTTGAACATAGGTTGAACATGGCTCAACGCATACATGTGTGTGCATACATAAAGGCTGTATAAATTTGCTTTAACTGCACAGACAAATGATTTATTTCCCTGTTTGTTTGTTTGTTTTTTTTAAAACCTTTCTTTGACAGATTATTCACATTGCTGGAGCTGTTGGTTTTGTCTGGGCATTGGTGACATTTCTACTTAAGATGCTTATTAAGTTTGTGATTAACAAGCCTGCCTCTAAACTTTGCCATTTACTTAATGTGTGGTTTCTGTAAACTGTTAGCAGAGGACTAAAGCACATATGAAGATATGCAGTTGCTTTTGCAAGATCCCAGAGACACAGGCAGAAATATTGGGCTTTCTTTCCATTTAACCAGGAGAATCTTCCAGGGCGAAATTATACATTTTGGCAGTGGTTTGATGGGGTGATGGAGGTCCTGAAGAAACACTTGAAGCCCCACTGGAATGACGGGTGAGATTCACCCCCACCCCCATTGTTGTATTCACTGGCTTGTCACGGATGTGCGCCCCACTGTAATTCTTTGTAGCTTGACTCCTCCCTCTTTTCCTCCTTTCCAGGGCTATCCTAGGTTTTGTCAACAAGCAGCAGGCCCATGACTTGCTAATCAACAAGCCAGATGGCACCTTTCTGCTGAGGTTCAGTGACTCTGAGATTGGCGGTATCACAATCGCCTGGAAGTTTGATAATAGTGAGTTCCTTTTTCACTAGAAGAAATTGCATGCTTTCTTTTTGATTGCTCTGTGAGTGATCAACAATTTCCAGAGAACAATGTTCACGTTTTTGTAACATAAACAGTATCCAATTGCTGCTGAAGTGCTAGGCCTCTTTCTGGAAGAGTATTATTATTACTGTTGATATTACTACTGCTGCTGCTACTACTGCATTTATACCTTGCCTTTCTTCCTCTTGCAAGGAAGCCAAAGTGGCTTACAAAGTTATCCCTTTCTCCCTTTTATTCTTACAACAATAACCCTGTGAGGTAGGTTAGGTTGAGAATCTATGACTGGCCCAAAGTCACCAGGTGAGCTCCATGGCTGAGCAGCAAGTAGAACCCTGACCTCCCAGGTCCCCAGTCCAACATGTCTAACCATCACGCCACACTGGCTTTAACATGTTGGGAAAACGTTGTGTATTTCCTGCAGTTAACAGTAATACTTTGTAAAGCTCTGCATGAAAGTTCATGCATATCATTTATTTATTGCTTCAGTTAGAACATAATCTGTCCAATCCAGTGACAAAACTGGGTGCTTCCAATCAGAGGGCATTTTTAGCTGCTCCATTTTCCCCCCTCCTTATGCCCTTTTCTGGTAAGAAAAGATATGGCAGAAGCAATGCAAAAACAGAGGAGGGTCACAAGGTATAGACAATAACATCTGGACTCCAATAAAATTCCATAAAGGAAGGCTTGTCCAGAATAAAATAATAGAGGCCTTGTCCAGTAGCATCTACTCTTCTGTGGATGGGAATTAAGATAAGAAACTAGGTTTGTGACAGTGCAGGCATTCGCTAAGCAGCTCTCTGCACAGTTTTGGTGTTGGCTGTTTCTGCAAAGCAGCAGATCTAATTTTCTTAGAGTTGAACTCTGGAGAGAAATGGATACATCTGTACTCTTATGTATTTAATGTGCTTTTAGAGCATCCCAGGCAAATACTTCAGACACCTTTGGGCACATCCTTAGTTCAGTTGCATAGCCAATGAAAAAGAAGTTCCATTCATTGCCTATGCTAGATGTAGTTGCCTCCTTTCACCCATGCTAGCTCTTGGATCTCAGGAATGAAAGAAGAGACAGTGATCACCTCTTCCAGATAGATATGTACTAAGGGTGTGCGGAAGTATTTGCCTTCAGTTTCCTGCTCCGTTCACAGATGCCAAATTAGAAGACCTAATTTTGTTGCTTGCAATTTTACGCCTAAAAATTTTTCTGGGAGAGGGATTACCATTCTTTCGAAATGGGGACTGTCTCTTACCTTGTCTAGAGTCCTCCATATTTTCTTGTTTAAAGCCACTGGGTTTACTGGCAAGGCACCTGAGTTCTTGCGGTTGCTGGACACACCACACCACCGAAGCCACAAAGAATTATGAGTGTTGTTGCAAAAGGCGGAGAGGAACCAGATACGAACTTACATGCTATGAGAATTATAAGCCCCGCTTCCCATTTTTGTTTCACCTGAGGCTTTGAGCTGAAATGCTCTCCTACCCACCCTTAATCAGTCACAAATGCCAGAAAAAAATGGAATGTCCTGTTCCACCCTTCACCTCCTATCAAGCCCCAGGTTTCCAGAAAAGTACTCAAATTCTCCTAATTTACATAGAAAATAAAAGATTCTGCATATTTTATATTAACAGGTTCTAGGTATAAATGAGAAAGTACTGAACAAACAAGCATAGTTTGTAATCCATTGCACCTGAGCTTCCCATGAATCTCCTGATTGATGGGAGATTCAGGACAGCGAAAATGAAGTACAGCTTTGCACAGTACATCGTGAAACTATGGAATTTGTGCACCACAAGATGTAGTGATGGCCACCAATTTGGAGGGCTTGCAAAAGGGTTAGACAAATTCATGGAGGAAAAGCTATCAGTAAATGCTAATCATGTTTGCATATGATGTTGAGTGCTACTATCAGTGTCCAAAACAATATGTCTGTGCACAGATGGGAAGAAACTATTGCATTTGTGTCCTGTGTGTGGATTTCTTACACTTTTTTGGTTGGCTACTTTATGCTAGATAAATGTGCTGCTGTTCTGATCCAGCATTCCTCCTGTCTATTCCCATTGGAGGGCTACATGTGACTACGTTGCGTGACAAACTATAATACGTGACAAACCTGTTTGCTGCACCAGTGGTATTTGTAACAGTTGTAAAGTGGCACTCTTTGGAGGTGTTTTGCATTTTTTTCAGAATTACTCTGTTTCTAGTTGGTTGACAGAACTATTTGTTGTTTTTCACTGCTATGTTACCATGCTATTGGGTTTTATAGCTGACAGAATGTTCTGGAACCTGATGCCCTTCACCACTCGCGACTTCTCCATCCGCTCCTTGGCAGATCGTCTTGGTGACCTCCCATACCTCCTCTATGTGTATCCTGACAGACCCAAGGAGGAGGTCTTCTCCAAATACTACATGCCATTCCCTAGTAAGTTTGCAGTACCAGGAAAATGACTTGGATCTTTCCAGTCATGTTACATTCTTGTTCTTATACCTAAGCATATACCAACTTTTGAAGACCTCCAAGAGAGGGACACTGGCAATGATTTAATTCAACCAAAGCTTTTTTTTTGCTTTTAATGAAACATGCTTCATCTGCCTACTGTTGTAAATCCAGCATTTTTTTTTCTTTTGGGAAGTACAGGAACAATTATAGTGCTAATTCATATCGTTAAGGAAAAATACATAAAATAGATCAGAAAAGGCTCTAAGAAGAGGTGTGGGAGACGACTGAGTACAGCTAGACTTGAATTGGTTTGGACCCAGGAAGATGGATTTCACTGTTGGAAAATTTTTGTAGCAATAAATAAGGCTTAGCTTTTCTTTGCAACAAGATTATCTTGTATTATTTGGTCAGGAACTGTTCTGAAAGGGGAAACAGCCAATTTGCCAGAAAGTAGATGTTTAAAAGGGGTGGGATAAAGAGTGACAAGAGTAGGTAAGCTTGAGAATTTTGGTTTGTATTTTGTAATGAGCTGACCCGATCCACACTTTCTGGACTAATGTACAAATTGAAATGCAGTTAACCTTCAGAAATGATGCACTTCTCTGAATTTTCTAATGCAGTCTTAGCTCAGAAATGTTATAAATACATAGTTTAGGATAAAGTACATATAGAATTGTGTAATTTCTGTGAACACATAATATTTTATTCCAAAATGAATTAACATGTAATTTTTTTCTTTTGAATTGATGGGTGGGAAAGTGGTTATGAAAAACCTATGTAAAACTGACATGGACCAGACATAGACTGGTCCATCCATTTCTAGTTGGAAGGGCATTAAATGAGGATAATACTGCCTTTTCCATTGGCAAGACTGTTTCTCTAGTATGGCTGCAACAAGGAGGACTAGAAACACTGGACTGTTTGTTGCTGTTCATTTGTTTAGAGGTCAGGTGCAGAGCTGGTGGGCAAAGAGATTGCCATGACTTACACAATAACTCTGCTTTCCCCTCCTCCTCTGTTTTTTTCCAGCAAAGGCTGCGGATGGATATGTGAAGCCACAGATCAAGCAAGTTGTGCCAGAGTGAGTGCCATGGGAGGAAAGGGTGGGTTTTCTTTTTTTAAAAGGTGGGGGGGACACAAAAATATGGAAGGTGGACACATATTACTTCTCAGCTGGGTTACCTGTTCTCCCCAGTCCCCCTTCCAGAGTTCTACTTTTCAGCTAAGAGGTCCACTAGCTGCTTGATCCCAAAAGTTTGTCGATGCATCTCTCACTAGGTTTCATGTTTGGAGCAAGTGATATGGATTTGGGTCTACATCTTTTCAGCTTCACCCCCAGAAGAGAAAGTGGGAGGTGGGGTAAAAGTTGAGGAGACTGAGGAGTCAGGGCTCAGCAGCCATTGTTGCACCTGCCCACACAAGGTGCTCCTGGACTCTTCTTTCACATCTGTCCATGCTTTGTGCTGCCCATTAAATCAGCCTCCAGTGGTGTGCATGGTGGCAGTGAGGGAGTTAGGCTGCTTCAGATAGAGTCAGAGGGGATGCTAAAAACACAGTGCATGGAAGAAATGCCGGGGTCAGGTAAACTGCCCATAAAAGGGAATAAACTGGATTACTTGAAATATGGAGCATTTGACTCTCTTGTAGCAGGTGGCAGGCAGGAGCATGTAAGCTCGTTAGAAGGGGTTTCTTGTTTCATTTGTTTGTATCCCCTCCTTATACTAAATAGTGCTCAGGGCAGCTAATAAGAACATAAGTAATGCCATGCTGGATCAGACCCAAGGCCTGTCTAGTCCAGCACTCTTTGCACACAGTGGCCAACCAAGGCTTCCTCCAGCAGGAAGGGTGCAAGACCTCCTCCTGCTCAGCTCCTCAGCAACTGTGTCTGCAGGCTTGGCCCATCTGGTCAAGGAGGAAGTGCGTAGCTCACGGATGCTGCACTTGCTGCTGAGGAAGAGCAAAGGGAGATCGTATCTTAATGAGGCTGTGATGAACACGGGGGAGCAGGGGACTGCTAACACAGAGGTGTGCTTCATCTGTTTACATCACATACCTTTTTTCTGGAGCCAGTTGCTAGTAGGTCAAGCAAAAGGTCTGAGAGAGTGTAAGCCGCTATTTCTGTCATGCCTTCTGCAGTTTTTCCGCTCCATCTGGGGACTCTGCGAGTGGAGGTGCCACCTACATGGAGCAAGCTTCATCCCCAGCTGTCTGCGCTCAATCCCACTACAACATGTATGCACAGAAGTAAGTAAGGGAGGGCCTAAGCTAGTGAAACAAGCAGCTGTGGGCTACTATTTACCTGAATGTCCTGGTGACTACTGCTCATTGGCTCTTAAGCTGTGGTGGGCAACCTTTTTGACCCTGAGGGCTGCATGCTGTGTTGAGCAGTGGATCGGGGACCATGTGCCTGTGCTTGGTGCTGCTGAAAGTAGTTGCAGCAGGTGCTGGTCTGACAGGAGCTGCAGCCAGGTTCTTCCTCTCTCCCCTCCCCAGCCCACTGCTGCAGGTTCATTTACCTCTGAGGAGCTTCAGTGCATGCCGTCAGCCATTATGAATATGCAACTCCTAACTGCGGTTTTTTGCTGAGTGAAAGCCGTCTGGCAAGGGTTATACCTCACACTGGCCAGGGTCACATAACACAAAAGCCCCTGGCTAAGGGTTGCATATTCATAAGGGTGGCCTGGACACATTGCAGCTTCTCAAGGTAAATTAACCTCTGATAAATTTAGTGAATGGACATGTAAACTGGTCCATTCACTTCAACTGTTTGGCTGGCTGGGGAAAGCATGACCTACATGTGTAGGGTGGTGTCCTGAAAGGGTCATTTTGGTGAGTCTCCTCCTCATCACATTCACTCTCAACTGGCTTGCAATGGGGAGAATCCCACTGAAGGCCTCCAAAAGGCCACATGCTGTCCATCGACTGAACCACACTCGTGTTTTGCAAATCTGTTCTTCACATTGTGTAACTTCCCAACTCTAACCTGCCACCTCTGAGACGTGAACCAAGAGCTCTCTGCTTTCTTGCCATTCAAATCCAGTGTTAACTGGGAATAGGCTGCATGACGCCATTATTCAGCCATGAGTATGGCCATTATTGGCCATACTGCTGGCTGGGGCTGATGGAGTTTTTGTCTATAACATTTGGTGGCACCAGAGGACGTACATTTTGGCTAAGCTATCTGAGAACCAACAGAGGAAAGCACGATACATCCTATTTCTCCCTCCCCCTCGTAGCATTGCCTCTAATTTGTTATGCTGCACAGTGAAGCAGCAGTGAGGTTGCACAGCCTTGCAGTGGCAGCGTGGGCTGTACTACTTTTGTATCCCCCCCTGTGCAAAAACCGAACACATTAAGGTGAAAGTCTTGAGCCCAGACCATACCCCTCTGAAATGGCTTTGACCTGCAGGGAGTTATTTTACATTCAACGGAACATTGAAAAATGTGATCCCATTTTCAGTGGGATTTACAATGGACTGAAGCGTTTCAGACCATTACTGCCTCAGGACATTTACCCCACATTCTGGTGCATGCGTGTGTACATCCTGGGCATCCCTGTCTCTTTGTTCACTGCCTTTGCGGAGCTAAAGCTAATCCAGGCTAGTCTCCCTCTCACTTGTGCTACAGTGCTCACTACCTCCCCAGCTTTTGTTCATTCTCTCTAGTAAAAATTTAGTCTTTACTCCCCACATAGTCACAGTATGAAATATATCTACAAATCAGGGCATCTCTGCATGAGACATCTCTGCATGGGATTGGCTTCAGAGGGAGAAATACCGTATTTTTCGCTCTACAAGACGCACCTGACCATAAGACACACCTAGTTTTTAGAGGAGGAAAACAAGAAAAAAATATTCTGAATCAAATGGTTTACTAAACGATTTAATAAACTATAACAGAATACAGTAATACCGTATTTCAACCTTGTAAAGTGAACAGCAGTCAACAGTGCATTAAGAACCATCATCACTGTCATTAACAAAAGAGAGACTTTAAAGTTTGAGTACTCTTCTAGTTTTCGTTGAACCCATAGAACTCATCATCACTAGAGTCAGAATTTATGAAGCTCTGTTGCTCACAATCACTCACATCACTTCCTTAGTCAGTAGTGGAATTATTGAAGGAATCCACAATCTACACCAGTTACACAAGAGCTGCCACAGACAATTCAATAACAAATCTAAAAAGCCAGTAATGTCCACGCTGCCCTACTAGTAAATAATAGAAAAAAAACTTCTGACAAAAAATGAGATATTGTATGCTAAATCAAACACACAGCGGACTAAGTAGCCTTTGAAGAATAAACTTCATACACGAAGATAATGCTGTTCAAATATCCACTGATCCTAAAAAAAATGTGTCTGATCAACTAACAGGTAACTGATCCATGGAAAGCTTCCTCATAATCACAGGCACATTCCCCAACACTTCCCCATGGGCTTCATTAAAAGACGGGTTGCCATTTGAAAACACACACCGACCTGTGATTAACAGCTCTCACCTGCGCCGGAGGAGGGGGGCGGAGCAGGGTGCAGCCGGGCCGGCAGCATATCGGCGGTGGTCTTCCGGGTGGCGCGACGGCGGCGGCAGGTCTTCCCAGGCGGTGGGGGTGAGCAGCCCATCTCTCCATGTGGCCGGTGGGTTAAAGCCCGCAGTTCCTCCTGCTCTGCACCTCTCCCCCTGAGCGGCACAGCTCTCACCTGTGCCAGAGGGAGGGGGCAGAGCAGGGCGTGCTGAGCACGTGCCGGCCAGGTGGTGCCATGTGGTGCAGGCGGGCTGGCAGCATCCCGGGCGTCGGGCACACACACATTCACTCTGTAATACGCACAGACATTTCCCCTTACTTTTGAGGGGGGGAAAGTGCGTCTTATAGAGCGAAAAATATGGTGAGTGCTATTTCACCAGTGCCTCTTGTGAGAGGATGGTGATCATCCTCGGGATGAATACTCCTGATTTCTTTCTCATTGTGGGGATAGAAAGTAACCTCCTTGGAGGGACTGTCCACTAGATTGCTACTGGGGTATACCTGTGGTACTTCAAACCACACTCTCTTCACAATGAAAGAAGTTCACCTGAATGCAGGGGGTCACCCAAGTTTAGAGCGTTGTCTGCAAGGGCAGAACTTTTCCAGCAGTCAGTCCCAGAAACAGTCACCTCTGTATCAACAGTGCTAGTCACGCTAACTTCAGTGCTACCTTTGGCCCTGAGGGTATCCACTCCGCTAGCTTCAGGACTGTCTGTAATTTCATTGGCTCACTTTCTGACTGTTCCGATCACTGCAATACAGTTTGCAACAATATAGGCCCTTTGGATTTCAACTACTTATCTCTGCCAGTTCCTCAGACTATGACTATGAAGAGGGATCAGTTGGAACTACTGACAAGTGTGTCCTGGTATCCATCCCACAGACCCATGTTCAGAAACGAAAAGTTCTGCTTGAGCCATCAACACACTTGGAGCCTGATGCAAATGATGATTGACATCAGTGAATTCTTCTGACCACAGTGTGCCCAACTCTTTACCATCCTTCTGTAGTAAACAATAGTTAACTAATCTCCACCATCTCCTACTGAAGAGAACAGAGCAGTTACTCCAGATGTCATTGTTACTAATCTTAGATATTCCAAGGAAAGAGGTACCAATAGAGGATTCTGTGGTAGATGTCATCCAGTCTGCTGATGCTGTTGCCTTGCCAGTCCTCCCATCTTTTCTTAGGTTGGCAATGGAGTCTTTGAAGATGCCTTCCTCAGCCACTCTGACATCAAAAAGAATGGACAAATTGTATCTGAAGAATACAATTTCCTTTTTTTAGTATCTGGCACTGGCATCCATTATCATAGAGGCAGACTGTAACGAGGCATCTTCTAAACTACATTTGGTTCCAACCAGTCATAACTTTGGTTGTAAACTGGGTACCACAGGGCACAAAAGCTGCTCCCCAGTGGTTTGGCCTTCCAACACAAATTATCAGGCCTGTATGGCTGATAGCAGTTTCTCTCTGCAAAAGATTGCCTCCCTTCTTAAATACCTCCCTGAGGATGAAAGGATGATTGCAAGCTTGTTTAAGTGGAAGCTGTCAGTTTAGCTAAACAACAAACTAACACACTTGCCTAATGATGACATGTTCGGTTGTGGCCTGCAGGACTCACAAAAGAATCTTGATCCTATTTCAAAGACATGCCTTTCAACAAACTGGGCTTACTCAGTGACTGACATGCTAGACACCTATAAATTCAAGATATTTGCAAAAGAGATGGGTGCTGGAGCTCATCCTGTTATTCAACCTATTGCCCACAGTCCAGCCTGTGGACTGATCCCAAGCCAGAGTCAATCCCTATCCACTCCAGGTGGCCATTCCTTTCATTAAAGGGGACTACAACAGGCCGAACAAGCATTTCCACCCTCGTGACCCTGACAACTATTATATTAGAAGCCAGGGAATGTACAGAAATTCCACCTTTGACTCACTGCAATTGGAAGTGCCAACTACCCCTACCTTGGGTTCCCACATGGATGGGTAATATGCTTCAAGGCAATGCATCCAGAACAACAACTGGATCTTTATCTTTGTGCAGTATGAATATATGATTAAGTTCTATATCATCCCCCTTGTGAGTTTCCCCACCAGAAGAGGAGGTACCTATTGAATAAATTGATTCCCTAACAGCCTTTCCAGGTTGCATGTCCTGTTACTTCACATTTACAAAAAATGACATGAGTCTTCAATTCATCCTAGACTTAAAGGACCTTAATTTCTTTATCCAACCAAAAGAATTCCAAATGGTGATCCTGAACCCCACTCTTCGCCAGCTCCAAGAAGGAGGCTGGTTTGCCTCAATGGATCTTAAGAACATTCATGTCCAAATTTCTATGCAACCTTCCCATCTCTGATATGTACGGATCACCACTGGGAATCAGGGTTTCCAGTTCTGGGTACTACTGTCCAGCCTCACTAGCATCCAAGGGATAGTTACTGAGTGTATGACCATTGTGCATGCCCATCTTGCCTGAGGTGCATCAGGGTGCTTCCATCCCTAATTGGCTTCCTATAGCCTTGTCACACTCATTCCCCAAGAATAATCTTCTCTCTGTTCTGCTTCTTTCTGAACAAAGTCTCTGTGTCAGTATCCCTAAATCCTGTCTTGTCCCAACAACTCCTGTTCAGCACACTGGAGTATCTTGGACCTGAATGAGCAAGATCATTTCCATCCCAATACAGGGTGAAAACCTCGACTTTGACGCTGTGCTTTGTTGTGGTCCGGAGCTTGGCCTGTGATTCTGCCGCTCAAAACCTATTTGTCCTTATAGCAGCAAGCACCTCTTTCATCCCATTTGCAAGATTGCACATGCAAATGCTCCCAGTTAGTGTTCCTGGCTGCCTTCCATCCTGTATGAGATGTACCTCAAAAACATCTATTACTACTTACTTGGCTTTGGCAGTTCCCCATGGTGGATGGTCGTATTTCATATTTACTGAGGTTCCCCTTTCAAGAGAGACAGCTGTACCAGATAGTAACAACAACCTTTATGTAAGACTGGGGGTGGACCAGACACTGCGGCCTTATTGCATCCAAACCCACTGGTCTTTGAAAGAAAGGTGATACCATATGAATGTGCTAGAACTGTTGGCACTCTAGAAGCTCTAGTCATGTTCAAGGACACAGTTCAACACCAGGACATATATATAAAGCGCAATGTACATCCCCTGTGTTTAGCACATAAACAAATGAGGGGGTGCCAGGCCAAGGACCCTTCTCTGGCTTGCTCTGAACCTCTAATGATGGGCTGTATATTGACAAACATAGCTGCTGGCAGAGACAGAGAACATACTGGTTGAAGTCTTGAGCTAGATGGAAGAGCTGAACTACAGCTCTCAGGAGGCCCTGGATATGGGTCAGGCAAGAGGCAGGCACAGCAGCAAGGCAACATGGAAAGGCAGGAACCAGGAGCAGAGATGGTTAGGTAAAGTGCAGGTGCACTCTATCTCTTTGAGCAAATGCAGCAATCTTGCCTGCATGCTACTGTTGGGTTCAGGGATGCACAGGATTTTTTGCACCCGATGTTAAGAGATTTCTGATGGGATAGAGAAATATATGTCCTTCCGTTTTCCAACCAACTCCACCTTAGAATCTCTCTGTGCCTCTGTTTTCTCAAACTTCTTTGCATCTTCCCTGACTCTTTGAACCACTGATTACACTTGACATCATGTTACTTACCTTGGGATTCTCTTCTCATGCTGCAACCTTTGGTCATTGTACTGATGAACTGGTGGTGCTCTAAACCAAGCCTCCATTTAAGGTCCTCTGTAGGGAAATGGTGGTTCTTAGACCAGATCCAAACTTTCTGCCTGAGATTGTGTCACCTTTCCATATTCCTTTGGAATCTTCACTTCATACTTTGGATATGCAAATACTCATTGCCTTCTACTTCACCAAAACTCTTCATCCCAGAAAGCTGTGAAATGTTTTGCCTGCTTATAGGGGCAAGAATAAAGTTGCTCTGGCATCAACACAACAGTTTTCAGCTTAGGCTTTTTGAAGCAACTGAGCTTTGCTGTGCCCTGCCTCATTCCACTTATGCCATAAGTACCACAGTCAGCATGGCCTCCTTCCACTTATGCCATCTCCTCCTCAGTGGCTTTTTCCAGGGGTTCCCAGTTCACAGGGATGCCCCTGGGGAAATGCACAACCTGGTCACAGCCCAGGGTGCTTGTCAAATATTGTTGCCTCAATGACTGGGTGAAAAAGGACAATATTTGAACTGAAAGTATTCTCCTCAGTATTGGTTTGACCAGCCTCAATAAGTCAGCTCATTAATTACCCCCATCTGTGGCATTGTGCTGCAAAGAAGGCGAACAGGCTGCTTACCTGTAACTGTAGTTCTTTGCGGGGAAACCTCTCCAGTCACTCAATCCACCTTCCTACCACTCTGTAGGTGTGTTGGTTTACTTTCCCCATTCCTCTTGGTCTCGGGATGTTGCTGCATTCTTTTCAGGAAAACCGAGGGGAAAGCAGGAATATCATCCTTTAGGCATGCATGGGAGGAAGTTACGGTGGTTTTCTTGCCTAAAAATCTGAGCCTCTGGAAAGTTCCAGCAGAAGTTCTGTGCTGGTACAGAACCCACATGTATGACTTCATAGATAACACTTGAAGAACTACAGTTGCAGGTCAGCAACCTTTCCAAGCCTGCTATGGTTGTTTGAACAATCTTTTGGTTGCTTCAGTAGAAAAACCCCAAAATACATACTATACAAAAAAACTAAAAAGGGCACAAACAAAGGAGCAGTTGTTATATAACACATTATGAGATAAAGTCATTGCTGTGAAGATCATGATATAAAATAGGTCTAAAACTTTATGAAAGGCACCACTCCAAAATGACACTTATGAGAGTCAAGGCAGACGAGCTGCCTACTCCTTTGTTAAAAGCAATTTCATAGCTTGCCTCAAACACCCGGCACCTGTAATTTCCTAGCTAGAACTTCACAAACAGTTTCCTGCATTTCCAGAATGGGGAGGGGCTTTTTCATGCAGGCCACTTGATCCATCGTCCTGCTTTCTCTCTGCCTCAGCCCGGACTCTGTGCTGGACCCAGAAGGAGACTTTGACCTGGACGAATCAATGGATGTGGCACGACACGTGGAGGAACTGCTGCGGCGCCCCATGGACAGCCAGTGGATCTCAGATGCGCAGTCGTGACCCCGTCCCCTTCCATGGAGAGACCGTGCAGAGACTGTGAAGCACTGGGACACTGCCATCAGGGAGCAGAGCTGCTGGGGGCAGGCATCTCCTCACACCATAGTGAGGCTAGCCGTCCCTGCTCTGGCTGAGGGGTGCCTGAGAGGCAGTGGGTGTTGTCTCTCCCCTTGTCCATGTACAAAAGGCAGTGGAGTATGTTGCTTGGTTTTCCCATCTGCTCTTCTGTGAGGCTTACCTCAGGCCTTCTGCTTTGGCACACCGCCTCCTTCTGCCAAGCTACCGTTTGATTTGTGTTGGGAACCATTCCCTCCCCTCCTCCCAGAATTCAACACACTGCCATTCTTTGCCTAGAAACCTTTCAGTCTCTGGGAGGAGAGGGGGCTGAGCTGTGGAGGAGAGCAGGCCTTATTTGAAGTATTGTCTTTTGTAATCCTTGTGTGTGTGTGTGTGTGTGTGTGTTTGTGTGAGAGAGAGAGAGAGAGAGAGAGAGAGAGAGAGAGAGAGAGAGAGAGAGAGAGAGTCTGAAAAGTCTTCTCAGCTGCGCCCAAGATAAACGGTGTGCGCATGCATGCGTGCATGCGCTCCTGCATTTGATCTGTGTCTCCTGTGTGTGCAAGCATGTGTGCAGCATTCTCCGCAAGAGGTGTCAACTTGGTGGAAGTCAAGCTGGACAGGCACTTCATCAGCCTGCTTCTACCAGATTCCCCAGGTTTGACCAACAGAACCCGCTGGAGTCATTTTGTGTTCCCATCCCCCAGTCCCGTCCTGGTTGTTCTTTTCCCTTGTTGCAAGATAGTTGCTTACCGTAAGGCTTCTGCATCCAGCACCCTTGGCTTTTGCCGTGTCTGATGTTTTGCTCCCAGGTACATTTAACAGATTGTGGAGGGGGTTTTGTTCTGTTTAAATAAATTGCAAACAAAATGCAGAATTAATATTGAAAATACTGGTATCTTTCCCCATTTAGGTGGAAAACAGGTCTTGGGATTTCATTGCTGGGTGAAGAGAAAAGGGGATGCTGTGAGTGGGGAAGTATAGACGTGTGGACAAAATCTACCAATTCTGTTCCTCTCCTCTCCCCTCCCCTTTCCCAGCCCTCTTGTCTGGCTAAACCACTGGGAAGAACAGCTGTCTGAAGCACTATTTTTATACCTACAGGTTAATAAAACACACACTATTTTAACATGAAGTAATAGATTTCTCACATATATGTTTCTAGGGCAGATGGTATTTTTAGAAGTAAGAATCCAGTCTCCAATCCAAACACCACGCTTTTTGTGGACTTAACCAACAAATGTGTGGCACATCCTTCTCTGCTCACTTCTAAAATTCAGACTTGCCTCTCAGAAGACCATATGGGAAGGATGACAGCTCTTGGATAGTACTCTAGTGCTTTGAGTGCCTCTTCTACCACCAGCAGACAAAGAGCCTAAGCAAATCCTCTGATGGTTGATGGGCAAGGTAGCAGAAGCTGACTGATGTTTTGGCCTGCTCGTGTTTCACCATAGTACAAAAAGGCAGGCCAGAACCGTTTCTGTCCTTCCTGCTGACCTGACCTCTCAGGTTCTGTCCAGCTGGTGTTGATGACGGCCATAATTTCCCCCAACAACTATGGCTCTAGGTATTTACATAGGGTTCTACCACAAGAGCATGCTCTCTGGAACATCGTTTGGTTATCCCTAAGAGAAAAGTAGTGTCTGGGATAGGGTTAGGGTTCCCATCTTGGGAACTCGCCATCTGTTCACATTTGAGATCAACAATCAGCATGAAAACAATTTTAACACCAGCCAGCCTTTCTAATGTTACCTCACACTGAATATGCTGTGTTTGCCCTAGAGAAACATATCTGCCTCTGTAACCTTCAAGAGGTGGTTGAGGAGCACCAGGGCAAAGGCCATGCAACATGGGCTCCTTCAGCTCAGAGAACTTGGGGAGGAGAAAGTAGTTCCTCTGTGCTGAGCTTTGTAGCAAAAGTAGGTGCCTTTTGGGATGTCCCGAGGAACAAAGAGCAAGCACAACCTTCTGTTGCAAATGTTTCACCTAGATACAGCCATCTAATAACTCCAGTTTCAGATAAGCTGAGAGAGACCTTTGTCATAATGGGTACACCAAAAATGTGTTTTTTGGTGGGGGTGGAAGCTAGCACAACCAGAATTTCAGTTCTTACACAAGTTTTGGAACACAGTGGCTTTCAGCTCAGTGCTGCCCCTTAGCACCCTTGTTTCTTTCCCGTTTTCTCCTGAGGCTGGGCCCTCACCTGGCCAGAGCACAAGTAGGTGCTTCCAGTAATCCATTTTAAAGGCCTTTTCCTGCCATAGCAAGGCTGTTGTCAAGCAAGGCAGGCCCTACCCACTTTTGTTGCTTGGAGATAGTGACAGAGCTGCAGATAGCTAGTGGTAGTGCAGCACAGAGAAGCTTTGAGGTTGGCAGAGTAAAGAACCCTCCAGAAGCTCTTTTAAGGCATGTTATATCATAGTAGTGAAAGCACAGAAAGCCTCCAGGTACCTTAAAGACCATCTTCTGTATCTGCACCACCTTCCTGTAGTTCACACTCATTTTAAGTTTCCAGTCCGTAACGTCTAGAATTCTTCTCCCTTTTTGGCCCAGGCAGTCTTATTTCTTACAGCTTTTCTCATTCCTTCCAGATTTCTCAGTCTTGCATCCCATCAGCCCCCTTTGTCTCTTGCTCTTTTGCTTCCTCCACAATGTACACATTTTTACATCTGAAGCAGACTCCCCATCTCTGTTGCCAAGCTGAGTCCCCCTATTTCTCTAATTTGGAATGGAAGCTGAGAATTTGGGGGGATGGTGTGGTGCAGTTTTAGTGATAGAAGATCCCTGCTACCTGGAACAATACTAAAATCTACTTGCCAGACTGGCTAGCAAGTTGACTGTATACCTCGTGAGCAACAATGCTTTTTGCTTGCCAGCTTCAGCACAGAGGAAAATACCACCAACCATATCCAATCCCAAAACTTTTCAGAGCCTAGCCTCAACTTGCCTATTTTATCATCCTGTTTTGACCTTTATTTTCTTTGACTACTGTAAATTGTTTGCCCCACATAATTTCTGCAGTTGTGTACACTTCTGGCATATTGTTGTCCTTAAACAAAATGATTGTTAATAGCTACAACTGGCTTGCAGCACACTTTTCACATGTGTCTACTCAGAAGTAAGCCCCATTAACAGCAAAATTCGCTCCCAGGTGTGCAATTGCTGATTAAGCTTGATTCTAAAGTGCCATTGCACACTGTATTTGTTCTCAGGGCTCTTTTTCCAGAATGTTCTGGGTTTAAAACCTTAGAAGTTGGGAAGTAGGGAAGTGTTGCAACACTTTTAAATGGAAGATTCAGTGAATATTATGGTGTCGCCATTCCAGGTCAGGCTGTTTGTCTGTCTAGCCTAATAACGTCTACTTCAGCTTTCTCCAGTGGCCATGCTGATCAAGGGGGGGACGGGATCTCTTTAGAGAGCACCAAGTTTGGGATGGATGGTCTCCTCTTGCTGTTTGTAGTTCCCCTTCAGGATCACTGATAGAGTTCTTTTCCATAACCTGCAAACTGCATGCTGTGGACAGAACCTTCTGTGTGCAATCCATGCACTTCACTACTGAGCTGTGCTCTCCCTGGCTTTATGATTCTTGCCAGCTGTCCTAGAAATTACTTGGATCCTCTACTTTTCAATACTTGGAGTTGGAAGCGTCCCACCATAAAAGGGTGAGGCTAGAAAAGGAGGAACGCGTTCTTTCTGACATCCCCTCCCAAAGAAAAGATGTGAACTAAGTTTAGACCCTTTTATTTAAAATGCAAACCTCCTGACTTTTTATCAACCCCTCTGTGCTTAGTTTCCTAGGAGAGCCGCATTGCAAGCCAAACTCTGGTAGGAGACAGATTTTGGCCACCGTTAAGAGTATTAGAGTCTTGACAGTAAGAAAGGGAAGGGCCATAACTCAGCCTTAAGAGCATTTGCTTTATGCACCAAAGGCCCCAGGTCAATTTCTTGGAAAATAAGTCGGGCTGGATATGACTCCTGCCAGAGTCAATGGAGAGCCACCACTAATCCGTGCAGGCAATATACAGATCAGTGGATCAATGGCATGGCTCAGTGCAAAGAAGCTTCCACATTACCAAACTTTTGACACGAACCAAACCACACACGTTTAAGTTTCAGTTAACATTGCTGTGAAATGAGTGCAGGTGTTTCAAATGACTTGCAGCCAGTGGAAATGGACAAATTGTATTACGTGGACATTGTGTGTCAACCCATCTTGAGACTAGAACACAAAACTAGCTAGACCATTCTGGCACAGAGAGAGAAACAGTTTTCAGTTTTGTGATCCCTAAGGAAGACTTCTTCCCTACAGGAATGGAGGCATAAGGCTCAATGGAAATTGTGCACCAATTCCTGCTGGTTGGTGGCTCTCCATTTTCACTAGTGAGACTGGGTCTGTCCAAGCAGCTGTTACAGATGTTTCTACTATTTTAAAGGGAGGGGAAGTACCCATAATACTGAGAGAGAAAAAACAAATATTGCACTATTTTAAGCAATTATTTTGCCAAAACTATGAAAAGTTTTGATGTGTAAAAATAAAGTATTCTGCTAAAATAACACTCTAAAATAATCATGGAGGAAATGTGATCATTGTTTGTATGTTAGATACTTGGGAAACGGCATAAGAACCTCAAGGAGTACAGTTTTCAATGGCTTTTAAGTTTGTTTTGGAACAAAAGTCTCTTATGTGGAAAAACTTATTTTGATGAAATATTCATGTTTTGAAAGATGTTTTAGCCCTGTGCTACCAATAAAGTATTGTCTGCAATTTGCAGGGCAGTTCATGGCCAGTGTGGTTTTTTGGTTACGTTACCCCCGTGTTCAAAGAACAAGGATCATGCAACTTTAGCAGCAATTAGACTAAGAAACTCTATTTAGGAAGCGAGAACTTAACATTTTGTGGGTTTGTGAAGAGTTGCACAGTAAGTGTTGAGCTTGTCATGAGCATATTCTCTGTATGGATAAGGCATTGCTTTGTGTTTTTATTAAAACAAAATAAATTTCATTTGTTTTTAGCTTTTTAACAGCTCAGTCCTGTACATGACTGGTCAGAAGTAAACACTGTTAAGTTCAGTGAGATTCAGTCCCAAGTAGTGTATAGGATTGCAACCTTATGCTATGCATACTTGGGAATAAGCCAGACTTGCCTCAGAGGTGCTTCCTTTTCTGTAGGCATGCATAGGACTGTATGGTAAATAATGCAATTACATTGCAGCAGGGATGGGTACACCTTTGCAGGTGGAGGGCAAGTAACACCCTACCCCACCCTCCTGTCCATGGCTTGAATGATGCCACAGGTGTTCTGATGTCCATGACATCATTCGGTCCCTGGCTGATGTTCCAGGTTGATCATATACCTGGTGCATCAGCTAATTCCTGGCTTTGCCACATGCAGGTATCCCTGTTGAGGAAGGCCTACCTGCACCTCTCTAAGGATTTGGGGCTAGCGAGGCTGATGGAGGTGCCTTCTTCATGCACTGCTACTTATTCTGATTGGGGTGGTGCAAGAACTTAGCTGAATGCGTAGCTATGAGGGAGTCACTCCAAGGGAGCTCCCTTTTACTATGATCCATGATTGGAGATAAAATGTATTATCCTTAGCACAGCTCCACTTACTATTGAAAGGGGGGCAGCACATGGGAATCCCTGTGTTGTTTGTGATCATCGATTGGAGACAAGAGGAGTCCTGGCCTGCCTCGTCCTGAAGCCCTTGTTAGCCTCCAGGGTTATGGTTTGACAAGCAGCCAGAGGAAGGAGCCGAAGCCTCTGCAGGCTGGATAGGGAACTTGTGCAGTCTGGACGGTCCCCATCCTTGCTTTTAAAGGGATGAATTTCACTCAGTGCTGCAAACGGTTTCAGATAAATGTACTGGCTTTTAGTGTTAAAAAGGACACAGGATGGACCCTGCTTCTTTACCCCAGAATACTGTGTTGCAACCAGTGATCCTTATGGACTGGACACACAAAGCCTGAATACTCAACAAATAACTTTCCGAAACAACGTTGTAGGACTGTCACATATTCTGTCGTACCCTTTACCAGCAAGTTTCTTCTCCCCATTTTTTGTTTGTTTCATAATGAACTCCAGAATGCCTTGTGAAACTTGAGTACTAATTCACTGCTTCAGTATCTTGCTAAGATGATGCCAAGGCATGCATGTATGGAAGAATCGCATTAACCTCACCCACAGTCCAGACTGGAGCCCTGGCTATTTGCTTACCAGCTCAGTGGACATTAGACCATAGGAACACAAAATGCTGACTCAGAATGCTGAGTCATATCACATGTCCCTCTGTCCCAATATTGTTGACTCTGATGGGCAGTAAAAGCTCTGCAGGGTTTGAAGCAGGAGCCTTTCCTGATGCTACCTAAGGATGCCGTCTGCATAAAAAGCAGGGCCCTGAGAGGGGACTACAGCCCCTCCAAGTCAATATGATGTTGCCCCAAATACAAGTATGAATACTGAACAAAACAGCAACTTGGACATTCTTCTAGACTGCAGCGTGGGAAAGTGAAGAGCGGCCCTTGGACAGAGGGGAGAGGGGGAGGGCTATGTGTCTGCATGTCCTGACCCCCCCCCCCCATCCAAGAATAGTAGATCTGTTCTCGCACATGGCTGCACACTTGGTCCCAAGTCCAGTGCCTGCCTCACCTGCAACAGGGATTAGGGTGAGAGACAAGGCAATTTGCTGCCTAAGACACCCACCCCACCCCATTGCACTAGATCAAGGTACATGCTAGTCAGAGCTAGCCAAGTTATTTGATTATCCAAGGTAGAAAACTACAATTTCAAACTCAAAATCTCCCAGGCAATAAAAATCAACAGCAGTATCAAATGGGTAGCAAAGTCCTGCTCTTTTGCGTTACTTAATTCCTGATAACTGACCTTGTATTTGTTATTGATAGTACATATTTATTATTAATGTTTATGACATGATGTAGAACAATTTAAAACAACAGCCTACAACAAGCCAGTGTGGTTTAATGGTTAAGAGTGCAGGACTGGGACTCAGGCAACCTGGGTTCTAATCCCCACTTAGCCATGAAGCTAACTGGGAGACTTTGGACCAGTCACAGACTCTCAGTCCAACCTCACAGGGTTGTTGTAAGAATAAGATTGAGAGGAGGGGAAATTATTATTATTATTATTATTATTATTATTATTATTAATGTAAGCTGTCTTGAGTTCTGTGAAATGGAAAAAAGGTGGGATATAAAACAAACAGATGATAAAAAACATGGGAATTAATGACAGTAGAAACATTAAAATTACTCATTTTAAAAGGCCAAATGGAAAAGACGGATCTTTTAAAAGGCTAAGTGAGGGGCTAATCATAGTTCCTGAGGAAGAGAATCCCATAGTTTAGGTGCAACACAGGAAACAGTTCTTTCATGCATGCCTGAAAAACTGGCTTTGGCAGGTAATGGTGTCCTCAGAAGAGCCTGTCCCACAGATTTTAACACTCAGGCAGATTCACTTTCTTTTCCCAGTCAAGCAAACCCTTTAATACCAGCTGGTAGGTGACCCTGCAGGAAGATCTAGGCTCTCCAGCCTCATGTGAGCCGAGGCCAGGCTTGCCTTGAATTCAAAACACTGAATGTATTTACAGAGCATTGAGCGTATGACCAGTGCAGGCTCTTGTGGCACAATCAAATGATGCTGGCATTGGACTGAGCAACCTCGGGCCCTCCAGGTGTTTTAGCCAATGACCACTTCAGCCTTGGCTGGTGTGCTTTGACTTGCAATTGCCAAGGCAGGATAAGCTTTCAAGGACTCTTCAGGCATCTGATGAAAGCTGCTGTCAAAGTTTCTAAAACATTGCAGGACTTAAACCTGTTTATTGGTTTGTGTGGTTGATTTTGTAGTTTGCTGCTACCTTGCTGAAATTTCAGTGGAAGGGGGGCTCTTTGGTCAATTCTGGCCCCGTCTTGCTCAGTCAGAAAACAGGAATTGATGTGGGAGTCGAGTCCTAATTGTTTCCCATCACATCCTTGAGGCTCTTTCTTGATTCCTGTTCATCAAGAAGGTGAAAAGGCTGGGAGCGCATCCCTATCTTCTGGAGTAAGCAAGATGCAGCCACTAGAGGGTGCTTCGAACTCAATCTTTCTTGACCTGGAAAGAGCGCCAGGCCAATTTGTCTGCAAGAGGTTCCTTCTTCTCTTATGTTCCAGAGGAATCTTCTTCCCATTTGGTGTTGCTGTTCTGTGGGAGTAAAAATTGACAGTGTTAAGGACTTCAACTGAAAGTGGATCACTGGAGAGTCTGAGGTTTGCCTACTCCAAAAGAGGAGGGGCTAAACTTGCAGTTAGGTCTGCAAATCACAGGTCAGGCCCTTGGCAGAAGTCTAAGGAGCCAACATCAAGCAGACCTTTTGTCAGGTTTTCCAGCCTTTTCTGCTGCAAGACTCCTGTACCTTTTAACACCAATAGGACAGGTGGAACTCCAGCAAGGGAATTTCCCACATCACTACAAGTGAAAACTGTTAAATTCCTGCCTTGCCTGCAACTATGGAAAGCACAGGAGATGGATCCTAGGGGAAAATGGCAACCCTCTCATGTAGGCGATTTGCTAAGAAATCCAACATGTCTTTTGCCTACATACTCCTCATCTACCTTCCTTCAAATGCAATACTATTCCTTTACCCTGCACTGTAACATGTGAAAGCATAAATCTGTGCAGCACAGGAATACAGGATTTTCCTTAGGTCTAATCTGAGATTTGCCTCAAATCCCAAAACCTATTTTCAGCTTCATGGGATGTATGTAAAGTGGAGTGCTTTGGGGAAAGCACAGTGTCTTTTCTGAGCACAGAGGAACCATAACATTGAAGTTGTAGGCTACAACTCTTCTGCCAGTAGTGCAGGTGTGTTATGAAATGACAAGGGAAAGAACCTACTCTGTTGTGACCCCTAATATGGAACAACCTGTCACAAAGTTGTGACTGGAACTAACATTTGTGCTAGGTCAAAACCTATGTGTTTTCCTAGGTATCCTAAATTGGTTTCTGTGAGTTGTCCATTTTACGTGCACTATTGAATGATGCATTTCAGTGTTTTTATATACTGAATTGTGGGTTTTGAAGGTATATGAAATAAGAATTAAAATATTCTTAATAAATAATAACCCACAGATGGGGGATTTGGTTTTCCAGCTTGGAGGCTGTGGCTTTGGGGCTGATCTGATACCAGGACTTCTCCTTTTCAAATTGACAGATCTCTGCCTCTGAAGCTGACTATTTCCACAAATCGGCTGGGTGTGGGCGTGGGCGGGCGTGTTTAAAAGATAAAGTAAAAAGACCAAGGATTATCTCTTTTATGCCAAAATAAAAGGAATCATGCGTTGTGGCCCCAAATGAATCTCCCTTAATCTCCATTAAGAGATTCTATTTTTGCGTGGGTTCCTAGAGGCTGACTCTCAGTTTTGATTAAAAGCAAAAATTCCTTTTGCAATGCAACTTTAGTTCCTGGTGAAGCCCTTTTGAATATGGAGCTGCTTTCCTGGCTGGCTGGTACCAGCTGGCTTCCAGGGATGTAGGCAGGCTTCAAGTAGAGAGGCGAGGCCTTCCTGCAGAGAGGACCTGCTGAGGGTGCAGCTGCTGCTCGGAAACAGGAGAGGGGCCACTGTGGCCCATGTGAGAATCCAGTTACTGATCATGCCTTTCCTCACCTGGCATCTAACCCCAGTTGGGCTGGATTACGTCTCCCATCCTTCCCAGACCATAATGCCAACAGGGCTGCAAATCATTCCTGCAAGCTGGCAAACGTACCACAAGGAATCCAAAGGTTTGTGTTCTACAAAGTTTTAGGGGATGGGGAGGCAAGAAACGAGTGCTTAGGGGTTACATTGCTATTTGGGGTTCTATTCATATCACTATAGGGGCAGGCCCAGATATGTTGGGATCTGAGGAGGTAAACACAAATGGCATTTTCTACACTTATTTGGGGTAAGCAGAGGATTTTTGAGGTCACTGTGTGCTACTGCATGGGAGACGGCCAGATTTGACCTCGAGCACAATCCATTGCCAGGTTCTGGTCACACCCCCTTGAAAGCAAGAGGAAGTGAACTGTTGGGCGCTTGTGCAGGAGAATGTCATTGGTGCACTTAGGTAGCTTTAGACTCTGAATTTAATGCTCTTACAACCCACAGGTTCTCTTTAGGTGGGAATGTGTATGATTCCACTTGTAATTCAAATAGCCTTTGTCCCTAAATAGCAAGATATACTATTTCAGTTACTTCAGACTATATTCTTAGGAGATCGTTCTGCTGAGTAGGCCCCAAAGTCCTGCTCCCCAATGGCGGCACTGGCAAGTTCCCTATTGGATTGTGTCCCGTAGCACAAATCTGTCCTATTCTACCTCACACAGCTGCCCCTAATAGCCCTCCAAATCAACCACCTGAGGCAGCTACTTCAGAGCAGAGCTGCCTCAGTCCTTCATTGCTATACAACTTCAATGGTTAGAGTTCTTAGGAACTGATATACTGGCAGGAAAATCAAGGCATTGGGTTGTTCCTGAAATAAATGAATTTGCTCTGTCCCCAGCATTTTCTTCAGCTTCCCAGCTCTTACGGAAAAGACTTAATTTAGGTCAAAACTCACTAAGAGAATAATTGTATGCAAGTTTTAGACAGGAAAAGCCCTATACCCGCCAGCATGCCTCAGCCATCATGGCTGTTTGGGGCATGCTGGGAGTTGAAAGACTTTTCTGTTTAAACATGCATTTGTGAAAACAGTTCAGGATTATAGCAACGTGGAATATAGCAACTTGCATTCACAAGAACATTCACCTTTCAACTCCACCTTCATAGCCATTTGAGACTGTTACTTTGAACAGTGTCCAGTTTCTCTCTTCTTTTGTTTGACCATCTACCAAGCAATCTTGTGTTTTGCCAAAGGATGGAGATGGTTCCACATAACAGCTAGTTTTATTGTTTGTTAATTGGAGGTCCAGTCACTGTTTATGCAGGCTCCATGGCATTTCCCTTTCCACTTTTCATTTTATTTACTAACTTGCCTGATAAGGAGTTCTGGAGAACTCAGAAAATTGTGTACTATTTTGTGATCTTGAGTTGGCCTAGTAAACATATTGCTCAAACATAGATTTTATATCTGGTTTCTTGTCTACCTCAAGCTTTCTTGATTTCATCACGCTAATTCAGGAGAAGGTGGACAAGGGCTTTTTGTTGATGCAATTGTAATGTCACTGGGAGGCAGAACTGTTGTCCATCTTCTGCAAATTGCCAGATTTTCCTTCTGCCTGTCCCTTTTGTAAACCATGTCATTTTGCAAGCACAACAAGGAAACAGCTTTCACCTTAGGCCTGGGGTGCCCTGGCCAGGTGATGGGGAACAGTCATGCTTTATGAACAGTAGGTGTTTCCTTTTATCCAAAGCTGTACTGAAATGTTCTTTGAGTTCTACCTATCTGGAAGGAGGAAGAAAACCCAGTTTTGCCAGGCAGTGGCTGAGTTCACATGTCACACTAAGCCACACTGGGTTGTCATTGTAGGCGGTCACCAAATGGCTTAGTGTGACAGCTGAACCTGGCATGGTTTACCCACCATGGCTGGTTCTGTGCAACCAAGCCAGCCTCAGAACCTATGGCAGGTACGAGGGATGTTTTCAGTAAGCTTTATGGGTTGTTGGAACTGCTAGAGAAGAGTATCCAAAGTCCCTGCTAAACTTTGCTGTTCTGCTAGTGCTGCTGCAATTCTCCCTCATCATTTTCTCAGCCTCAGGGTGGATTTTTATTTTCATCTTGAATAGGAATCATGACGGTGCCTCAAATATGCTCATAAGTCTCCCCCCTACCCCCGCTGCCCATGCACAAGTGTGTGAGGTCATCTGAAAAGGCAGAAATTGTGGATGTGGCTTGAAAGCTGCTTTAAGCATCCTGCTGAAATGATGCAGCTTTATGACTAGCAGTTGGTTTCTATGCCTCTGCATCACTTGCTCCATTTGTATCTATGTGCGTAGATTATTACCAAGGTAGAATAAGCCTTCACTGTTCCTCTCTACAAACTTAACAGTCCATTGTTAAGGCTTCCATCAACGTGTTATCCAAGGGTGGCACATACGCCTGGATTGTGGGGTTCTAGTCCAGCCCCAGCCCCAAATGACCACCCAGAGAGCAGCCATTGAGGAGGGCAGCGGGAACCAAAATCATTTTATTTTGTGCAGTTGTAGTGGTGCGAAGACTTTAAAAAGTTTAAAATGCAGAACTGCACATGCTTGGCATTGTTTTGTTAGCCAGGGTTGGCAAACAATTTTGTTGCTGCCTTTCCAACACACCAGGCATGCCGATTGAAAAAGGGAAGAGTGAACTGTCTAAAGAGGGCTCCCAGCAGGCCCTGGGTATGAAATTATCTACCTGTCATCGTGAAAGGCTATCTGTTGGCTTTCCCCAGACTGGCACCCTCCAGATAAGTTGGATCGCAGCCCCTGGCAGCATTGGGACATGAATACTAGTACTTTCCAATGTTCAGAAAATGGGAAATGGAAAACTACATGAGAAATGGCTTGTGTTTCTCCCCTCACACACACCCCTTCTGCAGGTCATCCCATTCTCTACCATTTCCAGCACAGACATGTAAATTTGAGCTGGCCTTTCTGCTTTGAAGCCAGCAGCTGGTGCTCAGCAGGGCCAAGTGGGGGGTTCCTTTAGCTCCACCACTAATTGCTACCCCACGATAAAGGCCAGCAGCATCTTCCACAGCTTTTGGTCTGGCTGGGGCCTTGCAAAGCGACACTGCCATTTATAGAATGCCAAGCTCCAGGGTCTCATTAACAGCCCTTCCACTCTCTCAGAGGGATCAGTGGTGACTGAAAGAAGACCACCCTTCTAGGCCTGGTGTGGATGAGGGGCAGGGGATGGTGGCTTCAACAGGCTGTTTGCCCTGACTTCAGTAGCTGGGAACCAGCAACTCCAAAAGACATCTGGAACATACTGGATACTGGTTTACATATGATTAGGGATTTATTGGGAGAAGATCATAACTTTTGATATTGTCTAGGAGTCACAACAAAATGATGCCCTCTTGACCTGCATAAGAGCTTTTTCCTCTGTTTTTAATGATGGTGCACAAGCCTATTATGTTTAGACAGGAGTAAGTGCTAAAATTTCCAACGGTCCCCAGCCACATTTGCTGGAGCCACAGTACTTCTGCGCTGGGTCGCCATTCATTCCACAAATCCTGGCCTGGCTTTTCGGTCACTGGGCGAGCAAGCTCCCGCGGCCGTCGCCAGCCAACCCGCTCCCGAGCAGCCTCGCCTTGGGTCCGAAAGCCCGCGCAATCGTGGCGAGGCGGCACGCGTGGGTCCGCGAATCAGTTCGGAGGCAGGGGCGGGAAGGATGTGCTCTGCCTGGCCCCGCCCCGGCCGTCCCACCATTCCTCCACCCCCACGGCGGCGGCGGGCGGCGGCGGCGCCTCCTCGGTCGCGCGCCGCGTCCCTCCTTCTTTCCCCGGCAAAGCCAAGCCGAGCCAAGCCGAGCAAATCGAGGCGAGGGACGGCACCGCAACGCCGGGGCAGGAGCCGGAGCCGGAGCCGGAGCGCGCGCTGGCCAGGGGCGCCTCTGGGGCAGACGCTGAGAAACCCCTTCGGGCCGGGTCGGTGCGGCTGCTGGGAACCCCCGGGGGGGATGGCGGACGGGACCCCCGGTGTCCCCCCCTCGCGCTCCCCCCGGCCTGGGCCCCCCCGTGCTCCGCCGCCAGAGGAAGAAACCGCAGGAAGCTCCGGTGACCTTAGTCCGCTGCGCTCCGTTTCGGGCGGCTCCGCTTGCAGCAGCCGCGACAACTCAGCCGAGAGGGAGCCCCCCGGCCTTGCCAAGACCGCCCCCGCTGCTGGCATCATGAAGGTGGGTCCCGATCGCTTATCCTTCCCTCCGCAATCACCAGCACCATCTCCATCATCATCCGATCTTGTCAGCAAGCCCCACGTCAACAATCCCGCGCCCGGATTCCTTTGGCACGTGTATAAGGACTCCCCCCCCCCCCCCTTGGAATTCCCACCAGGTTTCCCTAGCGCCCCCTCCCCTGTTTTTTCGGACATCTTTACTGAGCTTTATAGTCTCGATTGCCAGACCCCTCCATCCCGCCGCGCCGCCACAGCCTCCGCTCTGTCCTCATCTGACCTTCTAAATCTAACCTGGGGATCCACCAGCGATGGCAAACCCATCTGCTTTCCTTCCCCTTCCCCTGGCCACTCTGAGAGATCCCCTGAATGCTCCACATGCCCTCTCATGCCTAGAACAACAGATGCAGGGTGTGGAGTGGAAGGTTGCTGCTGAGATGGAAAGGTTGGTGATGGGTTTTTCACTGACAAGAGAGAAGGACACTCTGCATATGGCCAAGGGTACTCTGTTCATGCAATAAGTAAATAAATTCTGTTTTTCCAGATGGGATGTTGGAAACTGATTCTAGAGTTCAGCCTTAGCTGTGCTTAAGATGCCCTCCTCTGGAAATAATCCTAGATGCACTTATTGTAACCCACCTAGTAGCCTTTTACCTGAGTCTGCACGCTTTGTTCCAGTAAGGAGGAGTTGCTACCTTTTTTCACCCAGGCCAGTGAAGGGCCCCTTTGAACCCTGCTGTCAGCAGCCTGAAAGGGGTTCCCAATCCCTGGGGCAATTCCACTGTGCTTCGTATGGGTGTGTATTGAAAAGTCACTTTATATACTCCATCCCATCATACTGCACTTCTAGGTGGGGTGAATTTTAAATCCTGGTTTACACCTGCAAGCATGCACAACTCTTTATGTCTGGACAGTGTGTACTGGTTACCTGATATAATTATATTTACAATGGACTGGAGTGTGCAAAAGTGTCATTTTAATGTTCTAGCTAGCAAGTGATGAAATGCACGTGAGTGAATGAGGCTAAGGAGTGGTAGAAATGGTGGCTTTTTCTTTCTACCTCACTGGTGCAACACATGTGATGACTTTACTCTGAGCCTGGTTCCCACGTTTGGCAGCTCTTCTTCAATCATCGCTGGGAAATCTCAGGAATGCTTGTAATTTTGTGTTTTGGCAGAAGTGTCATGAAGCTTCCAGTTGTATCAGTTGGTGTTTCTACCTGTGGCTTGACCCCATGGCCCCAACAATTTGCATCTGGTTTTCTCTGAGCATTTGCACAGATTGAAGGAACTGGCTATAGCGTTTGGGGCCTATACTTAGTGGAGCCTGCTTAGCTTCAGCCTTCCCCAACAAGGTACCCTCCAGATGCTTGCAATGGCATTTCCCAGGATTCCTGACCATTGGCTATGCTAGCTGGGGCTGATGGGAGCTTAAGTTCAGGTTGTGTACGACTGTGCCATATGAACTGGCCTACAGTATGTCTGAATACATGATGAGCATGCATTGAAGGTGATACAAAAGAATGTTCTGTCGGTGATGCTGGCCCACTCTTAAAAAATAGTAGGCATCACTTGAATCAGCTCTGCTGATCAAGGTGGACATTATCTGTGTGAGTAATCATGAATACAGAAGCAGAAGGACAATTATTCCAGTGCAGTACACCTGGAATACAAAAGTATGCACGTGAGTATTTGACATTCTTCCTCACATTGAGGTTAATGTAGCATGTTCTCTTCTACCAACTTGGCATGTGTTGATTAGAAAGGGAAGGACTATGGAGGGTAGAATTTATAATAGGGGTACAGATCCTAAAGCTGAATCTATTCTCCAGAGGTTTTCAGATGACCACACACCCAGTGATTACTAAGGCTTGGCATGGCTTCTCCCCATTTTAAAAGGTTGAAATGCCTTGTAAGTGGTAGTAACAATGTTTAAAGAATGCTGATATTTGGGGCATTTTGCCTTGCCCCTTTGCCTTTGGTCTGCCCCATTTGATCTGGATCCCAGCCACTATTGGAATGCTTCTCTGAAGAGCTTCTCTGAAAGTTAATTCAGCACCGAGACTGAAAGAGGTTCGGAATTGCTGTGTTGAGATGGACCCAAGTCAGCTGGTTTTGTGTGTCCTCTTTCCACATAGATTGTGATGCCTCTTTCTTAGGCCGCAGGGGCCTCCTGGCTGGGTTTCTGTTTACAGTTCGAAAAGCGGAGCCTCAGCCATTGGTTGTGCCATCTTGCTAAGCAAAGCTTTCCAGACTGCAGCAGCAGCAAGTTCTTCCCATCTCTGCTGGCCTTCTCACATCCTGCCCCACACTGCTCTTGTTCCAGAGTGCATGAGAAAATCCCAGTGGAATTTCTTGGACTCTTTCTGTGCTTCGGTATAAAATCTGACACAGAGTCGGCCTTCTGCTACCAAGTGAGGCCTTCTTGCTCTCACATGGATTGCAACACATTGATATTAATGGAGCCGCCACTGGTCTGTTGAGCACAGGATGTGACAGCAAGCACTTTTCAGCCCCCCAGGCAAGCCTCTGTCCCAGCCTGGGATCTCTTAATATTGGGAGAAGCCAGGGAATGGTCTGTGTTCCAGACCCCATTCCATGAGTCAAGAACAACAATAAAGATGGCTGCCCAGCAGATTGTTTCAGAGAAGGCGTGCAAATGAATGAAGCCTTAGGCTGTGGGTATGGGGCAGGAGCCAAAAGCTTTTTAGTGCCTGTGTCCTTGAAAGATGTTGCCATTCCTCCCTCCCACTGCAAGGGGCTCTTGGGTTCCCTCAGGTTATTTATGTCTTGCTTGTCAGAATCAGGGTGGCCAAGGCCATACCTTGGGTGCATAGGGCCAAGGGAACAGATTAATGTAGCCAATTTGTTTAGCTTTGATGTGGTCTTTCTGGGTTGCTGGTGGGTCTCAGTGGGGAGAGGCTATGGGCCTCCATGCAGATGCTGCTTTCTTGGAATTAAGGGCTGTGAGGGCCTCTATTTCAAAAAGAGGGTTCGTACAACAAGGGCCTTCATTTTTCTCTTCTTTCTGGCCAGTATTTCTGCTTAATGTGAGCTGGCTTTAACTCTGCAGTCAGCATTTGCAAGTCTGGCCTTAGCATCTGAAGCAAGTGAGGGGTCTTTGAGGCCATGGAGAGGGCCTGTTCCAAGACTGAAGGGTCTTCCAGCAAAGCGGCTCCTTGGTAGGGTATAGTGGGCCTATTTGCTAGTGGCAGTGGCAGCAGGTACCTTATTTTTCGCTCTATAAGACACACTTTTTCCCCCTCAAAAGTAAGGGGAAATGTCTGTGCGTCTTACAGAGCGAATGTGTGTGTGCCTGACGCCCGGGACGCTGCCAGCCCGCCTGCACCACGTGGCACCACCTGGCCAGCACACGCTCGGCGTGCCCTGCTCTGCCCCCCTCCTCCGGCGCAGGTGAGAGCTGTGCCACTCGGGGAGAGGTGCGGAGGAGGAGGAGCCATGGGCTTTAACCTGCCGGCCACACGGAGAGACGGACTGCTCACCCCCACCGCCTGGGAAGACCTGCCGCTGCGCTGCCCGGAAGACCACTGCCGGTACGCTGCCGGCCCGGCTGCACCACACCTGGCCGGCACGCGCTCGGCGCGCACTGCTCCGCCCCCCTCCTCTGGCGCAGGTGAGAGCTGTTAATCACAGGTTGGTGTGTGTTTTCAAATGGCAACCCGTCTTTTAATGAAGCCCATGGGGAAGTGATGGGGAATGTGCCTGTGATTATCAGGAAGCTTTCTATGGATCAGTTATCTGTTAGTTGATCAGACACATTTTTTTTAGGATCAGTGGATATTTGAACAGCGTTACCTTCGTGTATGAAGTTTATTCTTCAAAGGCTACTTAGTCCGCTGTGTGTTTGATTTACCGTACAATATCTCATTTTTTGTCAGAAGTTTTTTTCTATTATTTACTAGTAGGGCAGCGTGGACATTACTGGCTTTTTTAGATTTGTTATTGAATTGTCTGCGGCAGCTCTTGTATAACTTGTATAAGGAAGTGATGTGAGTGATTGTGAGCAACAGAGCTTCATAAATTCTGACTCTAGTGATGATGAGTTCTATGGGTTCAACGAAAACTAGAAGAGTACTTGAACTTTAAAGTCTCTCTTTTGTTAATGACAGTGATGATGGTTCTTAATGCCACTGTTGACTGCTGTTCACTTTACAAGGATGAAATACGGTATTACTGTATTCTGTTATAGTTTATTAAATCGTTTAGTAAACCATTTGATTCAGAATATTTTTTTTCTTGTTTTCCTCCTCTAAAAACTAGGTGCATCTTATGGTCAGGTGCGTCTTATAGAGCGAAAAATACGGCAGTTGGGTCTAAGCCACCATTTTAATTCCCACCAAAGTAGCATTGCCTCCAGGCATTTTGGGAAACTTAAATAGCTCAACCCAGCTACCCAGCATTGCTTGCATGGTAATTTTTTAACATCTTCAATCTTGTTATGTTTGAGGTTAGGTTCAACATGCAGCACCCATGTCAGCAGGTGTGCCTTCTAAGCAGGTATGAAGCACCTCTTAACTTGGGTAGGTCAGATGCTCTGTACTAGGTATGGGAAAGCTACAGCACTCCCGATGCTCTTGGATTCCAACTCCTGTCAGCCCCAGCCAGGGATGATGGAAGTTCTGGTCCAACATCCTCTAGGGGGCCACCTCTTCTCCATCCATGTTCCATTCCATTATGCTGGGTGATGGAAGGTGGAATCTCATTGCTGTGCTCTGCATTTAATTTCTAAAACAAACAAAGAAGAGCCAGGTCATGGGACACATTGTTAGCCTCATCCTCTGACTGAAAAGTCCTTCTAACTGCAGATATGGCTGTTAAGAGATGGCCTGACTTTACAAAGATAAGTGAGTCACTATGAATGTTTGCAAGTAAATAATAATACAGGCAGTCCCTGAGTTACAAACAACGCATACTTACAAATGAACTGCTATAAAGCCTATTTTTTTAAACAAATTATTGCAGGAAATCATCATCACCACAGAGA